CTGTGTGAGCCCATTACCTTCTATAATTTTGTCTTGCTTTACCATGAGATATGATACTAACTTCCAGTTTAGTTGGCTTCAAAAAAAGGTTGGGTGAATTCATGGAAGTCTTGAGACTCAATGGTTATTAGCCTTGATAGCAGTATGATTATCTATGAAGGCCATTGCTGGGAGACTAGGAGGAAAAGTACTAGATCATCTTGATATTGTCAAGGACCACCAGTGTCATCTCAGTATTATAACCAAATCTGAATCCTGACAGAAAGGAGTCCATACAATTTGTTTCCTCTGGGATCTTCTAAAACTGCAGACCAGCCAGCTTTTCAATAACATTTCCCATAATTGTAAGGTTGGATGAAAAGTATCAAGTTCCATTGGGTACAGCAATAGCCTCAGGAGGGTGGGATGATTGCTTCCTATAGACATCACACCCTCCCACAAGGAGGCATTAAATATTTCATGGCTCCAATTACATGTCACTCCTGGGAAGCCTTAACCATCCAGAAAAGACATGTATCTGTACCACAAGTAGTTGAACTCACAGCTTGAAGGACTCAGTCCATTTCATCAGGACTAATGGAGTCACAGATAACTGAGAAAACTGCACCACAGGTACCTCCATATGATGTGAACAGCTAAACTACAACTCAGAATAAATCTGAGTCGCTTTATTCGACAGATGCCAAAATAGTCCACACAGCAGCCCTGTAAATCTTCCCCTGAGCCCTATCTAGAATGACCTTAAACATCTTAAAACATACTTTTGACAGAAAAATATTTTTGCTGCCCTTATTGTATAATCCTTATTATGAAAGGACATTGTAGCAAAGGGATCCAAGGTCCTTGCTTTCTTCTGCATTGCTGTTTCCTTTTGCAATTATGCCTTTCAAAGGAGGAAAGGTACGAAGAGTAGGCTTCTCATGCTCAAATTCTCTTCCATGAATTCAGGAGGTAGAGGCACTGGGAACAAAACATAAGGAATAGAAGTGTATTTCCACAGCTACCGGACAATTAGTCTGGATTACATTAAACTGTATCTGAAAGATATTTCTTAATTTCCAAAGATTTTTTTTTCTCTCTTCTTCAAGACTGGTGTCTTCAGATCTTAATTATGTTGGGACTGTTTCTTAATAAAAGTATATCCTTTTCCTTAGTGTTTTCTGAACTGATCAGTTTAGTCCAGGTCCCTGATAGACCAAGTAGGATTTCAGAGAGAGCTTGGGATTTTCCCTGAGGCTCTGGTACGTAGCTCAACTGAGGCCATAATCACCATTTGGAATGAGATGGTGACAGTGGCCTTGGATTGTATCATGCTTGGATCTCCAGAGGGTCAGTTGGTTATCAGATTTGCTTCAGAAGATGAAATGCCTAAAATGTTGCTGGAGGAAAATGAATCAAACTGAGCACAGATAAGAGTGTTCCTTAGATATTACCTTGTGATCCAGAAGTTTCATCTGATAGAATTTCTCCAATGTTGGATTAGAACAAATTGTTATTAGCCTGTGATTTCTGTCTATTGGATAATTGCTGGAAGCAAATTGATAAAAATATGAATGGAAGGAAGAAAAGTTTCTATTGAGTATAGAATATGAAGCATTCAGAATCTTTGGCTGAATGATTTTACAATGAATTTTTTAAGCTGAACCATTGAATAAAACACATACCTAATGCCTACTACTGGGAGAAGTTCCCAGTAAACTGCTATCACAGAGACTCAGGGCAGCTGTCTTAGTCCCAAGTAGTGATTGCCTTGAATGTCAACGTTTGCCATGGAAGCTTAGTTACCTTGGAAACGTGTTTAACTGCATCTTTGCTATATGGAGAGCCTATTTAGAATCACTATTTTGCTTTGAAGTCATCAGACTATTGTGTCTTTAAGCACAATATTAGCAAAAGTCTACTTTGACCTGAATCAATATGGTATTAAGCATTCAAATCAAACTGAATATATTAATGAGAAGAGCATAGTGCTCTGTGTGGCACATTAATATCTTGTATCCATTTGTGCAAGTGCTCAGAGGGTGATTCTCTGTTCTGTACATGTGAGGATGAAATGTGATATTTGTTTGCTTGTGATTTTCCAGTCACAATCTTGTCTGTTATCACATTTGTACCTCTCTCCTTGGTTATGTTTACTCTGATGTTTTGAAGGTGACTTTTTTGTCTGATTACTTAATTTATAGCAACAGCTACATGTTTATTTGAACATTGGATCCTTCTTACCCTCCCATTCACTGCCTTTTCAGATCACTTTCGATCACTTAGTATGTTAGATGTTTTTAAAAGTTCACAGAATACCAGCACTACTGTCACTACTGCGACTATATTTCTTCTTCCTCTTGTCTTCTTTCATTCTGCCAGTTATTAATGATCAGAGACTGAAACCATTCTGAATAGCTAAATATGCATGCTGGCGACCCCAAGGGGGAGGGCCTTCTCTGTGGGAGCTCCCACCCTCTGGAATGAGCTGCCCCCAGAGATCAGGGTGATCCCTGATCTCCCTTCCTTCCGCTGCGCCCTTAAGACATGGCTATTCCAACAAGCGGGACTGGCCTAGGGCAATTTTTAGAGGGGTTTTAATCATATTTTAATTAGACTATATTTAAATATTTCTTCTTAATTAATTTTAATTCTGTAATTGTTATTTATGTTTTTTAAATCGATTGTCAGCCGCCCTGAGTCCGCAAGGAGAAGGGCGGGATATAAATTTAA